AGAATGAGAGAAAGAAACTTGAAGCACTTGAAAAGATAAACAGAAAAGGAATTTTCCTACATGTCGCATAAGTAATATTCCTGCAAGAATAAAAAATTATGAAATATAAACTGTAGGCCAGGCGCGGTGGCTCAAGCCTGTAATCCCAGCACTTTGGGAGGCCGAAGAGGGTGGATCACGAGGTCAAGAGATCGAGACCATCCTGGTCAACATGGTGAAACCCCGTCTCTACTACAAATACAAAAATTCAGCTGGGCATGGTGGCGCGTGCCTGTAATCCCAGCTACTCAGGAGGCTGAGGCAGGAGAATTGCCTGAACCCAGGAAGCGGAGGTTGCGGTGAGCCGAGATCGCGCCATTGCACTCCAGCCTGGGTAACAAGAGCGAAACTCCGTCTCAAAAAAAAAAAAAAAAAAAGAAAAAAGAAATATAAACTATAAGTGATCTGGACAGATGGGACAGAAAGTGAAATTAGAGAAATTTATAATCATAAAAAGCCATTGCATGTGATCCTCCGAATCACATTTTTTATATGCCAAAAAGGTAGTCTGGGGAACATCAACCACCTGAAGAGCTTCAGGAAAAAGTTTCATGGTCAAAAATAGGTTAGGGTAATACTGCCTAACAACAGCCTCCTTGGGAGAATCACCAGTGCACAGGAGGGTGAAAAAGGCTCCAAGCCTGCAGTCAAGAAATCTGTTTAACCTTATTGAACCTCGTATTGTTCTTTTTCTTTCTTCATATTACCTATTAAAATTCCATGTAACTGCCAGGCACAGTGGCTCACGCCTGTAATCCCAGCACTTTGGGAGGCCAAGGCAGGCGGATCACGAGGTCAGGAGTTCGAGACCAGCTTGGCCAACATAGTAAAGCCCCGTCTCTACTAAAAATACAAAAATTAGCTGGGCTGGGTAGTGCCTGTCTGTAGTGTCAGCTACTTGGGAGGCTGAGGCAGGAGAATCACTTGAACCCAAGAGCGGGGGTTGTGGTGAGCCAACATCACGCCACTGCATTCCAGCCTGGGCAACACAGTGAGACTTTGCCTCAAAAAAAAAAAAAAAAAGAAAAGGAAAACCTCCATGTAACTTGTACTCTACAGAATATATTTAGGGAACACTACTCTAAACATCTTAGAGATTGAGGCAGAATATGAGGAGAATTAATACTTTCATTCTACAGGAGGTAACTAAGACTTAAGAAAATCAATTTCTCCAGACTCACACAGATTCTAAACAATGCAGCCATTCATTAATGAATTCCGTATTCAACATTTGTTGTTTCATACACGTCAGGCACTGTGCTAGGCACAGGGTAACATTTCTAGAATTCTAGACTATTAGAACTAATAGGTACATACCAGACCATTTGGCACAACCCCCTCATTTTCAGGGAGGAAAGGAAGTTTCAGAAAAGGTAAACAACTCAAGGTTCTACAAAAAAAAAGGAGTTGGAACTAGAATTCAAATCTAGGGCATTTGTCTTCAAGTCCTGTGCTTTTCATAGTACACTCCTCTGCCTCCAGATATGCTCACACCATACAAAATCTAATGTTTGAAAATCTTTCCAAGAGCTCAATTGTTTCGTGATCCAATGACAAAGCCAGCACAAACCCAGAGGAGGATGGTATTCTCTCTACCCAGAAAATATTAAGGAATATTTGCATTTTTGATCATTTCCCCAATATATTTAACAAATTGAAAGGCATTTAGCTACTTCCATGAGCAATCTTAGTACTTTTTAATGAACTATAAATACATTTCTAAAACCAAATGTGCATTTTTGCTATAAATTTCTTAGTTTAATTTCCTGGATAGCTGCAAATACTTTTGGAAATTCATGTTGGAACGTGAACTTTTGTGAGCCTCAAGTTTCCCTATAGGAAAGAGGTTCTTCATCTCTTGTTTATAGATCTGATGAAGAATCCTGTCCCGGAAAAAAACTGCCTGTTAAGACACAGTGTCACCACCATTTTACAAGGTTCTCAAGCTCACTAAAACTCTTGCTCTAGAATGTGACATTGTAAAGTCTTCTACATGTGTTTACTTCAACTCTTGATTTTGTGTCTGTCCAACTTCAACTTGGGTGCTGCAATCATGAAGTTAGAAATAAGTGAAAATATAGGTCCTGGGAGCCAAGAGTAATTAAAGTTTACTTTAAGGTTTCCCCACAATAGTGACAATAATTCTAATACTAATTAAGAGCAACAACAAACACGAATCCCTAAAATAGATATTTGCATGATTCAACTATGGTTTATAGAACCATTCATAAATGGATGGAAAGTGGGGCATACTTTTTGTTCTCCAGCTCTGTCCCAAGGCCTATCAGGAAAGGATATAGAGGAGTGGTAGCGAGCAGCGGGAGGGGTGGAGGGGATGGGGTTGAAATTTAAGGAAAAGCATAAAGAGAAACAAAAGGAAGTGTTCATTAGAGAGAAATTCTGGAACAGTTACAAAGATAAGGAAATCTCTATTCCCTCTTCCCTGCTTCTGATAACTCAAATTCCTTATTACTCAGAATCAGGTAGACCGAACTGATTTTTTTCATGACTTGGTACTGATGATGTCCAGTCCTAGCCCTCTAGGCACCTTTCCAAACAACTTCCAGGGAAAACATCTTAAATGTTAAGAAAGGAAAACAGGGAAGTAAGCAATGATACATGTGTTAAACAACGAATGAGTGTTAAACAACTAATATGTGCCTATAATTCCAGCTACTTGAGAAGCTGAGGCAGAGGGTTGCTTGAGGCCAGTAGTTTGAGACCAACTTGGGCAACATTGTGAGACTCTCCACTCAAAAAAATTTGTTTTTCTGGCCGGGCGCGGTGGCTCAAGCCTGTAATCCCAGCACTTTGGGAGGTCGAGGCGGGTGGATCACGAGGTCAAGAGATCGAGACCATCCTGGTCAACATAGTGAAACCCCGTCTCTACTAAAAATACAAAAAATTAGCTGGGCATGGTGGCACATGCCTGTAATCCCAGCTACTCAGGAGGCTGAGGCAGGAGAATTGCCTGATCCCGGGAGGCGGAGGTTGCGGTGAGCCGAGATTGCGCCATTGCAGTCCAGCCTGGGTAACAAGAGTGAAACTCCGTCTCAAAAAAAAAAAAAAAAAAAATTTGTTTTTCCATTAGCCAAGTACGGTGGCATGTGCCTGTGGTCTCAGCTTCTCAGGAGGCTGAGGCAGGAGGGTCACTTGAGCCCAGCAGATTCAAGCTGCAGTGAACTACGATGGTGCCACTGCACTCTAGCCCAAGAGACCAGGCAAAACCCCGTCTTAAAAAAAAAAAAGCCAATTTCCAAAGAAAATGTGAAATCAAGTCACTGTATTTCAGTGCATATATGGTATTTACAAAATAGGAGAAGTGGCCAGGCTGTTTATGCCTACAATCCCGGCACTTTGGGAGGCAGAAGCGGGTGGATTGCTTGAGCCCAGGAGTTCAAGACCAGCCTGGGCAACATAGGGAAGCCCTGTCTCTACAAAAAAAAAAAAAAAAAAAAATTAGCAGGGCATGCCTGTGGTCCCAGGTAGGCAGGGGGATCGCTCGAGCCAGGAGTTCAAGACCAGCCTGGGCAACATGCAAAACTCCATCTCTAAAAAAATACAAAATGAGCCAGGTGTGTTGGCATGCGCCTATGGTCCTAGCTACTTGGGTGGTTGAGGTGGGAGAATCACTTGAACTCGGGAGGCTGAGGCTATAGTGAGTTGAGATTGCGCTAATGCACTCCAACCCAGGCGACAGAGCCAGCCCTGTCTCCAAAAAAATAAATAAATAAATAAGAGAAGAAAGAAAGAGAGAAAGAAAGAAAAGAAAGGAAGGAAAAAGAAAAAGAAAAGGAGAAAGAAAGAAAGAAAGAAAGAGAAAGAGAGAAGGGAGGGAGGGAGGGAGGCGAATGAAAGGAAGGCAAGAAAGAAGAGGAAAAAAGGAAGAAGATCATGCTGTATTCCACAAGAGTACAATATCATTTGGATTTTAGCACATTCCAGTTAGACATGAATCTGAGTTAAAACCATCATTACAGCAAATAAGGTTGTATGAGGACTTGGGCATAACAAAGTCAATTTATGGCCAAATAAATCATCGTGGATTTTAATCATACCATGTAGCCAGAAGGAGTACAACCTGAGTCAAGCCAACTTTGAAAGAGAGGGGAAGTAACAATGTCTTTGCATCAGTTTAAAAGTGTGGGAGTCTGGTAAGTAAAGACCCACTCAAATTGTAGGTCTTGCCATCTCCTCTTAAAATCCCTCAGGCAGCTGTCTAGCTGAAGCTCTGGGGGACAGGAATTTACCCAGCTGGAACCCTCACCAATTTCCTTCCAGGTCTCTGTACATTAATAGTCAAGACTTCATAGCCTAATGTTGAAAGCAGATTTTCTTTTTCTTTTGAGATGGAGTCTCGCTCTGTCACCAGGCTGGAGTACAGTGGCACGATCTAGGCTCACTGCAACCTCCGCCTCCTGGGTTCAAGCGATTCTCATGCCTCAGCCTCCCGAGTAGCTGGGATTACAGGCATGCGCCACCATGCCCAGCTAATTTTTATATATATATATTTTTTTTGAGACGGAGTTTCGCTCTTGTTACCCAGGCTGGAGTGCAATGGCGTGATCTCGGCTCACCGCAACCTCCGCCTCCTGGGTTCAGGCAATTCTCCTGCCTCAGCCTCCTGAGTAGCTGGGATTACAGGTACGCGCCACCATGCCCAGCTGATTTTTTGTATTTTTAGTAGAGACGGGGTTTCACCATGTTGACCAGGATGGTCTCGATCTCTTGACCTCGTGAGCCACCCGCCTCGGCCTCCCAAAGTGCTGGGATTACAGGCTTGAGCCACCGCGCCCGGCAATTTTTATATTTTTAATAGAGATGGGGTTTCACCCTGTTGGCCAGGATGGTCCCGAACTCCTGACCTTGTGATCTGCCTGCCTTGGTCTCCCATAGTGCTGGGATTACAGGCGTGAGCCACCACGCCCAGCCGAAGGCAGATTTTTTTAGCAAGTACATACCTGTGGAAGTTTCACATCATTAATATCCCAGCTTAATATTTCTTTGTCTTCAGAATCAAAGTCGTCAGGTTCCATGATAGTCAGGCCAGTCGAGGTTTCACCTATTTGACTCAGAAGTGCTTGAGAATTTTGTTCTCAAAGGTTCTTGATAATAGCTGGATCGGCCCACTCAAGCACCTTAGACCAGGAGATTGTTTCCTAAGGCTAAAAAGTAAGTCATATTAGTATTGACCATTAAAGAGAGGGGAAAAAAAAAAATCAGTGCTGCCAGAAAAACCTGTTTCACTGACATTTTTCAAGTACCAACATACTACTAAAAAAAAAAACAAAAAAACGTAGGAGCCATTAGTGATTTTACTTAAAACTTGACGGTCGGGAGTTAGAAGCATGTGATCATTGCTTTCACCCTTGGGTTTGGGCTTGCCTTCTCATTGCAAGATCTAGGTTGTAAAGGCCTTAGCAGAGACAGTTGTCATCTGTAACCAATGGCCAGGACCTTTTCCTGCTAGGGCAGGAGGAAACGGGCTTGGAGTTGTTTCTACAGAAATTCCTTCATAAATTAGCTAATGTATGGCCGAAGTTGCAAGAGGGGAACATCACATTGGATTTATCTAGAAAAATATATATTTTAAAATCAAATCATGGTAAGGATTAGTTTTGGTCTCTGCAATCAAACCTCTGTGCACTATATATCTTCAAATATTATCAACCAATATGCTTATAACTGATTCCTCTGAAACAGGGTTTCTTAACCTTGGAACTATTGACATTTTGGACAAAATAATTCTTTGTTGTGGGGAGTTATTTTGCATGTTGTACACTGCTTGGCAGCATCTCCGGTCTCTACCCATGAGGTGCTAGCAGCCTGTAATCCCAACACTTTGGGAGGCCAAGACAGGTGGATTACTTAAGTCTTGGAGTTCAAGAGAAACCCTGTACAAGAAGTACACAATGCTAGCAGGGCATACTCAGCCCAGGTGGTCGAGGCCGCAGTGAGCCAAGATTGTGTCACTCCATGCCAGCCTGGGTGACAGTGAGACTCTGTCTCAAAAAAAATAAATGAATGAGTAAATAAAAGTTTGTTCAAATCGCATTGCTTTCTTCATAAGAAATATTGCTCTAATTTCTAACTATAATTGGTTAAAGGAGATTTACAAAGAAAAAAAGAAACAAAATTTGAAATCTTCTACCCTGAGGAAAAAAATGAATAATTTTGCAGATGAAAGGTACTTGTTAGTAGGATATGAAGTGAAACATGTTCACATGTGTAACATTTCCATTTACTGGTACTCTTATAACAAGAGACATAATGATGTTATGTAGAGCTATTTAAAAGTGAACTCAAACTACAAGGTAGATTAATAGTCTAAGCTTTGGCAAGACCCATTAACTCTGTTCTCTGTTCTTTAGTTTTTGGTTTGCTTTGTTTTGAGACGCAGTCTCACTCTTGTCACCCAGGCTGGAGTGTAGTGACACAATCTCGGCTCACTGCAGCCTCCACCTCCCGGGTTCCAGTGATTTTCTTGCCTCACACTCCCGAGTAGCTGGGATTACAAGCTCACAAAACCACGCCCAGCTAATTTCTGTATTTTTAGTAGATACGGGGTTTCACCACGTCAGCCAGGCTGGTCTTGAACTCCTATCCTCAGGTGATCCACCCACCTCTGCCTCCCAAAATGCTGGGATGACAGGTATGAGCCACCGTGCCTAGCCTGTTCTTTAGTTATTTAATGTTAAATAATCCTAATACTTGTCAATCACTGAACCCTACTAAGGGAAAGTGTACGTATATAGAAGACTGTTGACCTGAACATATAAATGAAGTTTTTTGTTTTTCTTTTTCTTGTGTGCCCTACATGTCCAGAGAAATTTCTCTACTAACAAACTATAGAAATGATCCCTGAAAGTATAATCTTTAGAAATGGAGTTCTTGACCATTAAATAACAAGCTAATCTGAGACTCTTCCTGTCTGTTCCACATACCCATGCTGAGTTACAGCCTAGTGGTTGCAGAGCACGAAGTTTCTGTTCCCCAACTGAATGTTGATTTTCAAGATGAAATCCTCATGGATTTTAAGTAAAGTTCTATGTTTAGGAAACAAACACTGTGTTACTCAAGAAATGATGCTGCAGATTAACTCTAATTCAAAGGACTTAAATAATAGGTACGGAAGACGCAGTTGTCAAGCAGCAGTTCCAACTACTTACCTCTCAACAGGAACGATGTTGTCTCTGATGGTGCGAATTTTGTTAGAACTAGCTGGAATAGGTCTACTTTTTAAAAACCTTGGAAAATAAGGTTCGTATTTTCAAAAATCAAAATCATTGTTATAAAGCCTGGGCAATACGACACGATTCTTTTGTTTTCAGATTAAGAGAAGGATAATAAAGGAAATCTTATTACACAACAACGATGTGGTTTTTAAGATTTTTCTCCCGATATTAACTTTGGCTAAGTGAACGAGCATTAATTTAATATTTCGCTAAAAGTTAAGAACAAAAAATAAAAAAGAAGAAAAGACCATATTACAATCTTAAACAAGTAAACTCTGTTTTCCTCTTCTAGGATTGAAAGACTAAACTTGTCAAGACTACTTTTTTTAAAGCAACTTGCGCAAAGTATATTCAATTCTCATCATTTCTACAGAAAAATGAACTAGAACAAATGAAACCCTGTAGGAATGGAGTGGTCATTACCGCCTCCTTACATTTGCCTCTCCATGGGATTTCTGGCTTCCTTACCTTCGGACTTCTTATGGAGAAGCAGCCAGCACTGTGTCGTGAAAATCGTATTGCTGGTTCAAGTCCCAGCAGGTTCTGGTCATTTTCGGAGCAGACGCTGTTCCCTATTCCAGGTCAGGGTACACTATGCTAATGAGTTCTGGCAGTGGTCCAATCAAAATCTAGATGCTCTCGGCTCCGGATAGGTAAGAGCAGCCTGGGAGTCACTTAACCAGCCTGATTCTTCTCAGAATGCCAGCAATGTGATGAATATTCTATGATGTGTCTCTGAACCTCCCCCTACCCGACCCCACTTTATGTTATAAGCACATTTGAACTAAAATGGACATTGAAAAGAACCTCATGAGGAAGTACAGATGTTTTTCTTCTTGTAATGTTACAGATTGGGCCCCAGGCAGGCGATTCACAGTAGATCCTAATTACCCGGCAGGTAACAATTCTCGTGTGTGCAAGAGAGAGAAGACAGACAGACTGAGATAGATATTACAGTGAGGAAATTTACTGGAATAGACAGTGGATAGCCAACATCCTCTATGCCAGAAATATCAAAATGCTACCTTAACCCTAGCAATAATTTCTCACTAATTCTGAGTGTTCTGAGCCCCTAAAAATACACAATTCTTTCTTCTAGAGATACTCTCAGTGCTGTTCTTCTTTTAGAACCTTTCGTGGTACAGCCCAAGTCAGTTCAGCTTATCTGTTTTGTTCTAGGTAGTCTGCTAGGCCTTGGCAACACAAGAGAGAATGAAAGCTATTATAGAAGTTCAGTCTTGTAGGAAAGATGAACAAAGCTACTAAATAAGGCCAATTTTTGCTGGGCGCGGTGGCTCACGCCTGTAATCTCAGCACTTTAGGAGGCCGAGGTGGGTGGATCACCTGAGGTCAGGAGTTCAAGACCAGCCTGGCCAATGTGGTGAAAACGCTGTCTCTACTAAAAATATTAAACAAAAAAAATTAACTGGATATGGTGGCATGCTCCTCTAGTCCCAGCTACTTGTGAGGCTGAGGCAGGAGAATTGCTTTAGCCCCAGAGGCAAAGGTTGCAATGAGCCAAGATCGCACTACTGTACTCCAGCTTGGGCTACAAAGTGAGACTCCATCTTAAAAATAAAAATAAAAATAAAAAAAGCCAATTTAATTTGATGTATAGAATAGAAGTAATATAAATGAGAAGGCTAGTAAGCTGGAGGGAGGAGAATCAGAGGAAATCCACCTAAATGGTGCCCAATGAGCCTTTTGAAAGACAAATAGATATTTATCAAGGCATGAAGGACTGGAAGAGGGTGTTTCAGGGAGTGGTAATATCCTGGACAACATAACCAGGGATCACTACCTGTCGGGAAGGTCCAGACTCTCAGGAATGAGGCTTAGGAGGCAGAGATGAGCAGGCCAGAAGGCAAAAGGCTTGGACAGCCTTAGTTGCATTGGGTGGCCCCTAACAGCCCTTTGGCAATGCTGAGATTTCTCATTTGTCTTTCAGTTCATGAACGAACTCCTCTTCTGTCTGAAGTTTAATACCCTGCTTAGTATTTTTTTTTTTGAGATGGAGTTTTGCTCTTGTTGCCCAGGTTGGAGTGCAGCGGCAGGATCTCGGCTCACTGCAACCTCCGCCTCCCAGATTCAAGCAATTCTCTTGCCTCAGCCTCCCAAGTAGCTGGGATTACAGGCATGTGCCACCACACCCAGCTAATTTTGTATTTTCGGTAGAGACGGGGTTTCTCCATGTTGGTAAGGCTGGTCTCGAACTCGCAACCTCAGGTGATCTGCCTCCCAAAGTGCTGGGATTACAGGCGTAAGCCACTGCGCTCAGCAGATTTTTAAAAAAGTCCTATTCTTATCTCCCATAGGTTTCCACTGTTAACATGTCAGTCACGTCCTTTCAGACTTTTGTTTTCTCCGGCACATACAACAAAAAGATACTGTTTTTATTTGCATAATTGTAATCCTATTGCACATGATATTGCTTTTGTTTGGTTTGGTTTTTGTTTTGCTTTTTTTGGAGATAGGGTTTCCCTGTGTGACCCAGGGAGGGCTCAAACTCCTGGGGTCAAGTCATTCTCCCCATTCAGCCTCCCAAGCAGCTGGGACTCCAGGCACCCACCACCACATCGGGCTATTGCTTTTCACTGTTGATGAGTGTTCATCCTGGCTCCCCAGCGAGGCTGCCAGTTCCTTCATGGCCAAGTTGGGATCTTCCACTTTCCCTCTCCTAATGGAAAGACCTGCTGGGTTTCCAGCGGCAGCATCACAGCTGTCCTGGTCCCAAGCACCAACCCTGCTCAGACACGGGAGGGCGCTGAAAAGCTCTGGTTCCACACTGATTGAGCTGTGACATGATGTCCCAGACTAATAAGGGTATTTTTGCTTTCTTAAAGCCAAGGTCCCAACTTACTACCCAAATTCTCCTAATCGTATTTTGGATTTTTTTTTTTTTTTTTGGACACAGAGTCTTGCTCCGTCACCCAGACTGGAGTGCAGTGGTGCAATCTCAGCTCACTGAAGCCTCTTCCTCCTGGGCTCAACCCATCCTCCCTCCTTAGCCTCCCAAGTAGCTGAGACCACAGTTACACGTCACCACACTCAGCTAATTTTGAAATTTTTTCATAGAGACAGGATCTCACTGTGTTGTGCAGGCTGACCTCAAACTCCTGGGGTCCAGTGATCCACTGTCTCGGCCTCCCAAAGTGCTGAGACTACAGGCATAAGCCACCTTGCCTGGCCAAATTCTCCTAACTGGATCTCTGTCATTGCTATTCATAACAATAATTATAGTAGCTTCCCTTGACTGCACACTTACAGTGAATCAGGTGCCATGATTAAATACCTGTCTGTATTATCACCCTTAATCCAGACAGCATCCCTATCAAATAGGTACTATTCTTATTATGCCTCTTTTATGGAGGAGGAGATCAAGGCTCAGACAAATAATGCCACACAAAGAAGTAAGTAGCAGAGCTGGGGTAGAACTTGAAGGCATGCCTGTTGACCACGGGACTGCATGAAGACCCCTACATGTTCAGCATCTGGAGTCTTTGTCTCCACTCCTGCAAAATCCGAGTTCTACGTCACTCTTTCCACTCTGTGCCTCCTCCCTAGAGACAGGAATCCTGCCTAAAGCCAGGTGGCTGGAGGCCCTATTACTTGGTAACTGACCTCAACCACTAATGATTGGATTTCTCAGTATCTCTGCTCTTGCATTCCCTGACACTCTGGGACCTGCCTATTGAGATCATTCTGGTTTTTTCTTTTTTTTTTTTTCATCAATAGTGGTGCTTTAGGCATTTTAGGCAGGATAATTATTTGGGTCAGACTGTCCCATGCACAGAATTCCCAGACGCAAGATGCCAGCAACATCCCGTCACAGTATCAACCATAACTCACGACACCTTTGTATTTCTCACATGTTTGGGAACCCAGGAGGGAGGAGTATTGTGCTGCCTCTGGTTTGGGGTAACGATGCCAGACCCTCAGGGCTGACAAGTTTGCCTGGACTATTGTCTATGGTTTCCAATTCATAGCCAACAGATACCTTGTTCTACCTAATGATGAATGTCTACACCTACAGTTCTGTCCTTCTGGTATCTACCCTATCTCAATGCATATTCCAGGCCCTAGTTTCACCCATTTGCCCAGTGCCCAGTTCTTCTACTGTGGACTTTTTTTTTTTTTTGAGACAAAGTCTCTCTCTGTCACTCAGGCTGGAGTGCAGTGGTACAATCTTGGCTCACTGCAACCTTCACCTCCTGGGTTCAAATGATTATTTAAGTAGCTGGGACTACAGGCGTGTGCTACCATGCCCAGCTAATTTTTGTATGTTTAATAAAGACAGGGTTACACCACGTTGTCCAGGCTGGTCTCGAACTCCTGATTTAAGGTGATCCACCTGCCTTGGCCTCCCAAAGAGCTGTTCTTCTGTGGACTTTTATTGCCCATTTATTATGTATCTGGCATTTTCCCATTTAGCCCTCACAACTACTTCATAAAATATAGTATCAATTTTTAGTTGTACAAATTTGTTGGGTACATATGATATTTTGGCTATATGCATAGAATGTGTAATGATCAAGTCAGAGTATTTGGAGTGTCCATCACCTTGAGTATTTACTATTTCATGTGTTGGGAGCATTTCAAATCCTCTCTTCTAGCTATTTTGAAATATACAATACATTGTTATTAACTAGAGTCATCGTACTCTGCTACTAAATATATTAAGAAATATATGGAATGCTTCGCTGACTTGCATGTCACCCTTGCACAGGAGCCATGATAGCTTTCTCTGTATCTTTCCAATTTTACCGTAGGTGCTAAAGGGAGTACTGGTATTATTAAGCTATATGAGCGTGAAATTAGTACAAGATAGCCGGGCACAGTGGCTCACGCCTGTAATCCCAGCACTTTGGGAGGCTGATGGGGGCAGATCACCTGAGGTTGGGGGTTTGAGACCAGCCTGACCAACATGAAGAGATCCGGTCTCTACTAAAAATACAAAATTAGCTGGGTGTGGTGGCACATGCCTATACTCCCAGCTACTCAGGAGGCTGAGGCAGGAGAATCACTTGAACCTGGAAGGTGGGCTTTGTGGCAAGCCGGGATCTCACCATTTCACTCCAGACTGGGCAACAAAAGCAAAACTCCATCTCAAAAAAAGAAAAGAAATCAGTATAAGGAAACTGAAGCACAGAGAGGTAAAGTAGCTTGATGTTTACAAGATTGTGTCACCAAACTTTTGGCATCAGCAAACTGACATAGGTCAAAGGAAAAATATGAACTGGAGAAGAATGATGTTAAAAGTCATTTCCTTCGTGGGAGAGTACGTCTATCTAACATTCTGATCCCTGCTGGTGTCAACATTCCCCTGCCTCCTTACCTCACCATTTTTTAGGAAATTGTTTTTCCCCCGAGGCTGTCCATTAGAACGTTCTGTCCCTTCTGACATGGAGCCTGACCTATTCAGTCTTTCCCTGGAATTTTCCAAATTAGAGGTGGAGGAATTGCTCTTTCATCTCAGATGCTAAATTGTAAGCCTGACCTCAGTCTTGCTGATGGTCATCTCTGCTGCACACGGCACAGTCTGAGAGAATGGAGACAACAAGAGAGAGAGATGGACAAAAGGAAGGAAGGAGAGAGCCCTGAATACAGGCGAGCCCGAGGCCAGCTCCAGTCCTCTCTGTTCCAGTTATGTGGCCCAACAAATATCTTTTATGCTTTCATTCCTTGGAACTGGGTATCTTAACTTACCCCTATTAGAGATCTACTAACACACTTCCCACCCTCTTAATAATCTAGGTAAACTTGCATCTCGTTCAGACTTCAAAGTAAACCACTTACCTTTTCATTGATGCTTCAATGAAAGTGAAGTGGGTATCAAAAGTGACTTGTCTGACACTGCTTAAAATTGGAAACTTCTCTGTCATGTCTCACTGGAATCAATGTGCAGGACACAGGGAGCGGTCACTGTAGGCCTCAGTTTATACTCACCCAGCACGTGCAGTTGCTAAAGCAGGTAATCAAGGTAACGCTCAGAGATCACTTTTCTGTGCTGGGTAAAACTGAACTTTGGATTTTGTCTTTAAGGTTTCTCAATTTGGAAGTCATTTGTGGCTCTCATATGGAGTTTGTACAAGTCCTGTATAATTTACTTCAGTGCTAAAGACCACACTACATCATCTTAAATTGGATTCTGAGCTGTCTCTGTTCTGAGAAACAAGAGGTGTTCTCTTTCTAAATCTCTGGGCAGACAAGACAAGCCTGGTTGACTGTGAAAATCCCTAGTTGATTGTGGGAATGTTCCTGAATGTCATGGTACTCTTTGGAAAATATTGTGAAACGTTAAAATATTTAATTATAAGACTTGGGAACTGTTTTATCTGTAGAAACTATGACTAACATATGTATATGCAACATCAAATTCAGGGACCATGAATCAAGAGTCAACCCCCAAAAAGGAAAACATAGAAAACAAACAAGCTCCCAAACTCATAGTGGTGGATTATTTCCAATTTCCTGTATATACTTTGCTGTCCTTCTGTTTTGTGCTAAAAGGCAAAAAAAAAAAAAAAAAAAAAAAAAAAAAAAAAAAAAAAAAAAAAGGGGTATCCTATAATAAAAATGCAGCTAAAATCAGAATTGATTCAATTTCTTAAATAATTTTGCAAACTGGGAAATCAGCACCAACTTTTTAAAACTTAAAAACCATGACCAAACAAAGCTATATGATCCTACCATTTCCATGAGGGAATAAGTTACACATCCCTGGCTATTTTTCATACAAATTTGATTTATAATATATGGGTTGTTACTGTTACTTGAGATGAATTAATATTTCAAATTATTTTTTCTAATTTCTAGCACGGTAAATACCGATAAAGCCATATAAGTAAAAGCTTTTGAAGTCCTCATGAATTTTTTTTTTTTTTAGATTAAGTCTCACTCTGTTGCCAGGCTGAAGTGCGGTGATATGATCTCGGCACGCTGCGACCTCCACCTCCCGAGTTTAAGCAATTCTCCTGCCTCAGCCTCCTGAGTAGCTGGCCCTACAGGCATGCACCACCATGCCCAGCTAATTGGTCCTCATGAATTTTTAAGAATAAAAACTGGTCCTGAGACTAAAGAAGTTTGAGAACTGGTGCTATAAAGTACTAAATACTAAAGTTTTTGTTTTTGCTTTTTTGAGACAGAGTCTCGCTCTGTTGCCCAGGCTGGAAGTGCAGTGGTGGGATCTCAGCTCACTGCAACCTCCACCTCCCGGGTTCAAGCAATTCTCCTGCCTCGGCCTCCCAAGTAGCTGGGATTACAGGCATCCACCACCATATCCAGCTATTTTTTTTGTATTTTTAGTAGAGATGGGGTTTCTCCTTGTTGGCCAGGCTGGTTTCAAACTCCTGACCTCAAGTGATCCACCCGTGTCAGCCACCCAAAGTGCCAGGATTACAGGCATGAGCTACCGCGCCAGGCTCTAAGTACTAAAATATTAAACCTTCATCATCCAAGGACAGGGCTGTTTCTGATGATATTCAGTGCTCTGAGCGTAAACTGCCCCTTCTGCCTTCCATGGGCTTCTATCTAAGTACTGGAAAGACACAAGAATGAAAGGGAGGAAGACAAGGAAAAAGAGGTGTTTAAAGTGAAACTGCACACTATCAATACCTATATGACAACATTTCAATGAATGGGAGGGAGGCCCTGCCCACAGCAAGGCTTTGGGATACCAGGACTGATTCCAATAGACACAGCACCCACCACTCCCATAGTCCAAGCTCCCACCTATCAGCAGTGGAGGCACCCAGCACAGCCCATAGGAGGTGGCACCACCAGGGGTAACTGAGGTATCTCCTTTGGCAAGCCATTGAAACCTTAGCAACCAACATCACCAAAGAGGGCTACAGCAGTAGAAGAAGAACATGGTGGATGCTATGTGGTAACTGAGAAGACTCATTGACAAGCACATAGGTATCCACTGAAGACACAATTTAAAAAACCTGGAACAGAGCTGAGGTCCTGAAGGTGATCCTAGAGCCAGCAAAATACACTCTAAACTCCTAATATCACCCTAATTTAAACTCTGAAACCTGGTTAAGTTACAGGTTAGGTGTTTACAATTAAAGAATACTAAGAAAAATGCTTTAAAAATGGTATCTTGGCTGAGCGCAGTGGCTGATAGCAGCAATCTCAGTACTTTGGGAGGTGGAGGCAGGTGGTCACTTGAGGTCAGGAGTTCGAGACCAGTCCCATTTCTACTAAAAATACAAAAATTAGCTGGGCATGGTGGTGTGCACCTGTAATCCCAGCTACTCAGGAGGCTGAGGCAGGAGAATTGCTTGAACCTGGGAGGTGGAGGTCACAGTGAGCCAAGATCACACCACTGTACTCCAGACTGGATGACAGAATGAGACTCTATCTACTGAAAAAAAAAAAAAAAAAAAAAAAAAAAAAGTATCGTGTTCTTTACATGATGGGATTACAGATAATGTTTATTTCCTTTTTTATATTTCTCTACAATTTTCTGAATTTTCTATAAGAAGCACACACCCTTTTTAATAATGCGATACTTTTTTAAAATCAATGGTATAAAGTAAAAATATGTACTATTTGTATGGTACCTTATAGCAGCAGTGCTTAATTTTTTTGGTCTCAAGACCAGTTGACACTCTTGAGAGCCTCAAAGAATTTTGTTTATGCGGTTATATCTAACAACATGTACCATATCAGAAATGAGAATTGAAAAAAATTTTAAAAAACAGTTTTTAGATTATTAATCTAAAACAACAGTAACAACACATTACATTTTAACATAAATAACATTTTTATGGAAAACTGTTTACCCCCAAAAGAATTAATGAGAAAAGTAACAATGTTTAACATATTTGCAAATCTCTTGAATTTCTGACCTATTAGAAGACAGTTGGATATCTTCTATCTCCTTCTGCATTCGATCTGTTACAAATATCACATGTCCCATAGCTCTGGAAACTCCGTTGCATACTTGTGCATAAAGGCAAATAGGCCAGGTGCAGTGGCTCAAAGCTACAGTCCCAGAATTTTGGGAGGCTGAGGCAGGAGGATCACTTTAGTCCAGCAGTTGAGACCAGACTGGGCAAGACAGCAAGATCCCGTGTCTACAAAAACTACAAAAAATTAGCTGGGCGTGGTGGCACGTGCCTGTGGTACCAGCTACTTGGGAGGCTGAGGTGGGAGGATCACATGAGCCTAGGAGGTTGAGGCTGCAGTGAGCCATGATCATGTTGCTGAACTCCAGTTGCGGCAACAGAGTGAGACCCTGTCTCAAAAAAATAAATAATAAAATAAAAAGAAAGGCAAATAACATCTTAATGTTATCATAAAAATTGTTTTGATCTTGGGGCCAGGTGCAGTGGCTAATACCTGTAATCCCAGTGCTTGAAGGTCCAGGCAGGATTGCTTGACCCCAGATTGTCTGAGCCCAAGAGTTTGGGACCAGCCTAGGCAACATGACAAGACCCTGTCTCTACAAAATATACAAAAGATAGCCAAGTGTGGTGGTGCACACTTGTAGTCCCATCTACTTGGGAGGCTAAGGTGGGAGGATCACCTAAGCCTGGGGAAGTCAAGGCTGCAGTGTGATTACGCCACTGTACTCCAGCTGGGGTGACAGAGGGAGCCCTTGTCTGAGACAGGTGGATCACTTGAGATCAGGAGTGAGAGTTACTGAGTTACTGAGACCAGCCTGGCCAACATGGTGAAACTCCGTCTCTACTAAAAATACAAAAAATTAGCCAAGCATGGTGGTGTGTGCCTGTAATCTCAGCTACTTGGGAGGCTGAGGCAAGAGAATGACTTGA